CTTCTTCATTACCTCAGCTTGACCTCTCACCTTTTCTCTGCGTCCCCCAACCTCCACAGATACTCCAGCTTATACGCTGATGGAGCGTTAAACCAAAGGGAAGGAACACCTTGTTGAACAAGGAACCAAAATGAAAAAAACAGGAAAAATCTATTGTCTATGAGCATAATAAAGACACAAATGTCCCTTGTTCATACGACCACCAGATTCAGGAACATGGTAACTCTGGGCAGCGGTTCTCTCTAAGCTAGCTTGCGATGTTTACAGGCTAGTTAGCGCCGTCACTGATGAGATTACAAGTTACCATTCAGGAGACATATTTGTGCCACTGATCCTTATCTAACAGGTGTTTGCAAACTCTATATTATATACAATAAAAAGAGAAAAATCATATAACAGTCGGCCTAAATTCTACCGGTCGAGGAAGATGGCTGCCTTCCCGGAGCCTGGTTCTGTTCGAGGTTTGTTCCCCTCTCCCTGTTAAAGGGTTATTTTAATTTTTTACTTTCCTTCCCTTCATCTCGGCCTGCTTGCTCATCAGGAATCTTCAGGCAGCTTTGGATTGTTGGGTTCTCTGTTCCGTGTTTAAAATCCGTAAGGTCTTCACCTGACTATGGGCAGTGCTATCAGATGGCACATGTTGTGAATAGGTGGTGGTGTATAAATAACACTAAACTGAATTGAATTAAATGGTGCAACCCAGCTAATGGACGGATCCAAGTGATAAGCAAAAGCAACAAAACAACTACAGTCGTGACTTTTTAGGAAAAATGAACGGAACCCATAAAAAACAGCCTTAACATACCGACAGCCTTGCTATCCGTCATAAAAGAAGGTGTTAGTGTCGGATTATCGAATCACGACTGTACTATGTTGTCGGTGTAAGTCTGGTTTTAGTGGGCGGCTGAGTGTCCCTTCTGGGCTGTGCTTCATTTAATCTGCCTGTAATGGCCATTTTTCCATGTCCTGTAATTGCCGTTGCTGCACAGGTGAAGCAGTGAGTGAACCGACACAGATCAAAAAACAGAATCTCCAGTCCTTTACTTGCCATTAATGGATGTTTATCCGATGATATGCATGCAACAAAAATACAGCAGTTTTCTGACTGTGAATTTGGTATCTGTCCTGGTTTGATGCTGGTCTGGTGAGAACTGGTGGCTCTCCCCCTTCTTGTGCCCTCTACATATACACCCTGTGTCCAATTACCGCCACCATGTGTCCAAACAATCCACATTAAATAACCTGCCGACAACAAACATAAATGGCTCTTACGCTGCCTTATACCACACTTGCAATGATGGCTGCTCAGGACCAAACAGGGAAATGACACACCAATGGTTCTACCTGCACAGATAGTCCATAGTTCTCTATGTTAAANTTATCTCTGTTGCAAACAAATATCAGATTAAATATCAATTATCAGTCGCCTAATATAAATATCAGCCATGAAAAACCAAGAGTACAGTGCAAACATATGTACTGAGCACTATATTACAATCAAACCTGTGTAATCCAATATAACGGCTCTAAAACTGAACATGTGTAAGCTCTGTGAACTTTAATCATGGACGCTTAATGCGTGTATATAATGCAAAAACACCAAATCCACTGTAATAAAGTCCAATTAGTACGTTTCTGACAGTGTAAATAAAAACTGAAAATGCCTTGTAGGAATAAAAAAATGTAGTTTCTGTCTTTTGTATCCGATTTCTTTCTAAATTCCACAGCTTCTACTTCAGTGCTTGTCGAGTGTAAATATGCAGTAATACAGTTACAGTTTATTCTCTATTTAAATATTGATTTATTGTGTTCTATTACAGCGCGTTTGCTCAGAAACAGGAGATTAAAAAAAGCTCCATTATTCAGTATATTTATTTATTTGTTTACAGTTTGCTGCCTGAGTTTAATTCTAATAATAATAATGGTGATGACATGTGTACCAGCTGACACAGCGGCGGTGTGAGTGTGAGGATGACAGATGAAGACAAAAGAAAAACAGTGACAAAATAACAAGAGAGGCGGCCAGAGGTGGAAAAGAGGACTTTCCTGCCTCCTAGTGGCGTCACGGGCAAAAATAAAAACCAACAAAAAAATAAAAAAAAGGAAGGGAAGAAGGGCTCCTCATAAAGTGGCTGTCAGGGTGGCAGCAGGATGATTTATGTAACTCTGCTTCTGTATCATCACATTTGCATGATAATGTCACATTCATGCTTTCGCAGGTATCCGGATCCACTGCGTCCTGACTGGCTGCTGTGGGAGCTGCTGATTTAATGTGTTTTAATGCAAACTAGGCTCCTGTTAGGTATTAGGGTTTATTATAGAGCTATTAGGTGTACGTGGGAGCTGAGGAACACGCAATGAAGTGGGTTTTAATAGCTGAGCTGATCGTCTGCAAGTGACAGCTTCCAGATTGAAGGCTGATGTTTTATTTTTTTCAAACTTTTACAAGCAGCCAGAAAGATGCTGGTTTAAGGAGAACTTTCTCCTCAAATTCACAGTGAAAACAGATGATTTCAGATTAATTTCTGGGGGAGATGCACCACTTTGTTTGGAGTTTGGTGCGAGGCTGCAGGGTGGAGGTTTCTTTCTCTTTTAGGAGCCTTTGTGTGTCCGTGAGTGTGTGTTCGTGTTGACTGTGTCGGTGACGTAACGGGCCCTGCTCTCTCTCTCTCTCTCTCTCTCTCTCTCTCTCTCTCTCTGTCACACACACCAACACACACACTCGCACACAAACTCACACAAACGCAGTCGGGCAGCGGCAGCAGCAGACGCTCAGTGCTGCTCTCAGTGTGCGGAGCGGAGGAGGAGGAGGACCGACGGCACCGGCTGTAGTTATGCCTCAGCTCCGGGAATATACATCTCCTCCTGCGCTTTCTCTCTCCCGGCCCGTTTTCTCCTCTTTTCTGCTCAAGAATCCGCCGTTCACCTCGCTCCTTTCCCCCGGAGAAGGCTGTGAGAAGGAGAGCCAGCCGTGCGTCATGGTGCGTCTTTGCGCATTTTTTCCTCTGGATCTTGTGATTTCTTTCTTGGCCGGACTAAAATGAAGCGCCTTTTCTGCGTGGAGTGGAAAAGAGGGAGCGTTTCCCAGCCCGTGACTCCCTCTGAATATTTGGCTGCAGCTGCTGGTGATCTGCGTGAAGCCACTGAATAAATCGGTGCTCACTAAAAAAAAAAAAAAAAAAGGGGGGGGTTTGCAGTAAGCGGCTTTTTCCTCTCACCGATTCTCCCCTCCGCCTCTGACAATGTGCCAAGTTCATCCAGCACGCAGGATCCCGCTGATTTGCGGTGGTTTTGCTTTTTTGGTTTTTCAGGGTTGATTTTCTTTTTTGTGTCTTTTCTTTTTTTTTTTTTTTTTGGACGGATTCCTGTCTTTTCCTTTATGATTCTTGGATGTTTTTGCGCATCCCCTGTGCGTCACGGTCTCATTTCAACACCAAATAGCGGCGGTGCGCCTGTTTTTTTGCGCGCCTGTGTGCTTGCTTGTGTGTGTNGGTTTTTCAGGGTTGATTTTCTTTTTTGTGTCTTTTTTTTTTTTTTTTTTTTTTTTTTTTTTTTTTTTTTTGGACGGATTTGGGGATTCACAGTGAAGGTCAATGGAGAGATTTGCGCATCCCCTGTGCGTCACGGTCTCATTTCAACACCAAATAGCGGCGGTGCGCCTGTTTTTTTGCGCGCCTGTGTGCTTGCTTGTGTGTGTGTGAGTGTGTGTGAGTGAGTGTGTGTTTGTGTGTGTATGTGTGTGTGTGAGCGCCTCTACCTCCTTTTTCTCCACCTCTCCCTGCTGTGAGAACTCAGTCCCTCAGTGTTTTTTTTTTTTTTTTTCCTCCTCCGTTCCGTCCAAAAGGCTTCAATGCTGCAAAGTTAAATGCTGGATCTATATTTCAGCGACCATTTTTGGCTGTAAAAATGCTGAGCGGCGTCCTCTTGCTGAGCGTCCTCACGGTCACCAGCCTGTCACCGTCCGAAACGGAGAGCCGCAAAACTTCAGCCTCCAAAGATATCTGCAAGACGCGCTGCGCCTGCGAGGAGCGAGAGAACATCCTCAACATCAACTGTGAGAATAAAGGATTTACCACCGTCAGTCTGTTCCAGGCGCCCCCCAATAAAATCTCCCAGCTTTTTCTAAATGGAAACTTCCTGTCACGGCTCAGCGCCAATGAGTTTGTCAATTATGGCAATGTCACCTCGCTGCATCTGGGGAATAACGGCTTGCAGGAGATCCGAACCGGCGCTTTTAACGGGCTGCGCTTCCTGAAGCGGCTCCACTTGAACAACAATAACCTGGAGGTGATTAAAGAGGACACCTTTGCTGGTCTGGAGAGTTTGGAGTATTTACAGGCGGACTATAATTACATCAGCGCCATAGAGCCGGGCGCCTTCAGTAAGCTCAATAAGCTCAAAGTGCTGATCCTGAATGACAACCTGCTGTTGTCTCTGCCTCCCAACATTTTCCGCTTTGTGCTCCTCACCCACTTGGATTTACGCGGCAACCGCCTCAAGATGCTGCCGTTCGCCGGGGTTCTGGAGCACATAGGCGGCATCATGGAGATCCAGCTGGAGGAGAACCCGTGGAACTGCACCTGCGACCTAATTCCCCTCAAATCCTGGCTGGACACGATCTCCGTGTTCGTGGGGGACATCGTGTGCGAGACGCCGTTCAGGCTGCACGGCAAAGACATCACTCAGCTCATAAAGCAGGATCTGTGCCCACGCAGGAACGCTGGCGAGCGCGTCCACCCCCCCTCCGACTCTCACTTCCAAGGGGCCCTGCCTCCGACCTACCACCCCGGCGTAATCACCCCCACCCGGGCCCCCAAAGCTTCCCGCCCACCCAAAATGCGCCACCGGCCCACCCCTCGCATCAGTAAGGACAAACATGTTTTTGGGCCCATAATGGTTTACCAGACGCGCTCCCCGGTGCCCATGCTGTGCCCCAGCGTGTGTGTTTGCACGTCACAGAACCCCGACAGCGGACTGAACATCAACTGCCAGGAGCGGAAGTTGCATAACATTAGCGAGCTGAACCCGAAGCCCTCCTACCCAAAGAAGCTGCACCTGACTGGAAACTACTTACAAGTGATTTACAGAACTGACCTGACTGAGTACAGCTCGCTGGAGCTGCTCCATTTAGGAAATAACAGGATAGCAGTGATTCAGGAAGGAGCGTTTGAGAATCTCACCAACCTCAGGCGCCTCTACCTGAATGGGAATTACATCGAGTCGCTGTCTCAGTCTCTGTTCGCCGGCCTGCAGTCGCTCCAGTACCTGTATTTGGAATACAACATCATCAAGGACATTCTGCCACAAACGTTTAACTCTTTGCATAACCTTCAGCTGCTCTTTCTGAACAACAACCTGCTCAGATCGCTCCCCGACAACGTTTTCGGGGGCACCATGCTAACGAGACTCAACCTGAGGAATAATCACTTCTCCTACCTTCCGGTCCGAGGAGTGCTGGACCAGCTGTCGGCGTTCATCCAGATCGACCTGCAGGAGAACCCCTGGGACTGCACCTGCGACATCGTGGCGCTCAAAAACTGGATGGAGCTGTCCAGCACCAGCGTGGTGGTGAACGAAATCACTTGCGATTCGCCGTCCAAACACGCAGGCCGCCTGCTGCGCTCGCTCCGCAACGAGGCCATCTGCCCCGAGCCCAGCGAGGTGCCCCCGCCTCAACACGCCCCCCCAACTAAAGCCCCCACGTTAATCAGCCCCGGCACGGAGGCCAGCACCCCCACTTCCTCTCCCTCGTCCTCTTTTAGCTCCGTCAGCCCCACCGAGTCCCGTATCCACACCCCCGAGCTGCACCCCGAGGTGCCCCTGTCGGTGCTCATCCTGGGGCTGCTGGTTGTTTTCATCCTGTCCGTGTGCTTCGGCGCAGGCCTCTTTGTTTTCGTCCTGAAGCGGCGCAAAGGGGTGGAGCACGTCCCCACGGGCGCCAACAACTTAGATCTCAACTCTTTCCAAGTGCAATATGGCTCCTACACGCCCGAACCGACCCAAGACAAGAGCTCAGAAAGCCACGTCTATAACTACATCCCCCCGCCCGTGGGCTCCATGTGCCAAAACCCCATTTACATGCAGAAGGACGGCGAGCAGGTGGCGTACTACCGCAACCTGAAGGAGCTCAGCTTCGGGCCCCTGGATGCAAAGAAGGACGACATCCTGAGCCGCAGCCCGGGGGCCTACACCATCAGCACAGTGGATTTTATGGATAAATCGCCGACATCTTGTGGTTTGACCACCCCGGAGCCTCCTGAGATGTTGTATCAAAACTTAGGGGAGAGGCCTACCAAGGAGCTCCCCGCGGCCGCCCCTCCTTTTAATTACAACTTTTGCACTTTGCCTAAGAGACCCTGCATCGTGCCCCCCTACGAGGCTGCTACGGCCCGACGGCATGTCACCAACCAGGACAGGTTGAACAAAACTGTGCTGTACGGGACCCCGAGGAAATACTTTGGGCCCGAGTACCCTTCCAAAAACAATGAGCACCCGCTGCTGCTGCCTGGGAAGCTAAAAACAGAACCAGACTACCTGGAGGTTCTGGAGAAACAGACTGCGATGAGCCAACTGTAAGATAGCGACATCGGCCCCTCCCCAGGTTCTGTGCAGCATTCATAATAATCACGCAGTTACTGTAATAATAGCCCTCTCTATATATCTATCTTATCTATCTGTGTTCAATCCTACATGACGGACTGGAAGTGAACCGAAGCCTTTGATGATCTTTTTTTTTTTCTCTCTCTTCCTTTTCTTCTTTTTTTTCTTTTTTCTTTTCAAGATGTATAAAAAGGAATATAAGAAGTATATTATTATGCAGTTCTATTTTTTCTCCTGGAAGGTATAAATTATTTCTTCTTTTTCGACTAAATGAAATCCTAAAAAGACTCTCGACGACGGCAGGTATATAATGGGCAGGACTGTGTACAAATACGGCTTTGTGCTTTTCATAAAACTGTATTTTATTTTTTTTCCCTGTGACAAAACAGAAAAAAGTGATGATTCTTTGTAGAGGAGGAGATGCTACAGATTGACATTCCTGTACATACTTAGCCTACACTGATAAATGGTGAGTGTTAAACCATAAAAGGAAAAAAAAAACAACAAAAAAAAAACCTTTTCAAATCCCAACAAGCGGCAAAATCTTACTCTACTTACTCCAGAAAGTGCCTTTGCACTCGACTATTTTATCAACAATGCTCTCTGCGAAATGGAAATGTTCCTTTTTTTTGTTTTTTGGTTTCTTTTCCTTTTTATTTTTTTTTGAAAGTGCTGTATTTTAAAGAATCAAATCTTTATGTAAAATAGAAGACTTATTTGTCCGTTTAAAGAAGAAAAAAATGAAAAAAAAAAGACAAACTATGAACTTGAGACTGGGTGTGACATGATGTTAGTTTGCTGACAGGGAGAACCGTGTTATTTTGCTTTCATTATGAAGTGTCTTTGGAGATGTACAACTTATAGAGAACATTGTATGCTATAGGGGAGCAATACAGCGCCGGCGAAATTGCGCCATTAAATTTTCACTGAAGCACTTTGTCAAGATCCTGAGCTTTGAGGTACATTTTTCTTCAGACTGTGCATGCGATTATTATTTTTTGGGGGGGATGCTGCCGTGTTGTTGTGGTCTGCTGTGTGTGTGTGTGTGTGTGTGTGTGTGTGTGTGGCAGCAGCCGGAGAAAATGAAAATAGAGGCTGCCTGCAGCTCCTCTCTCTCTAATGAAAAGTGATGGGCCCTCTAATGATTGACGAGATGAGGGGCTTTTTTTGTGGTTTCTTTGCTACCGAGCTGAACGCTTTCTCCCACACTGACACAGCACTTCCTCCTGATTCTCTCCCTCCTCTCTCTAAAAACAATCTCCATCCATCTTTGCATGTGCTACGCTAACGTGGAGGGTCAATATTTTTGTGTCAGAATATCACCGAGGGCTGTGCAGTGATTGTGTTGTCTGAGAGAGAGAAGGCCTCAGGAGGGGGCATCTGGAGAGAAAAATGTGTTGTTTTTAAAATGCAACTGCTGCTTCTTGGGCTGTGCAATCTTGCAGGAGAGACGGATTGTCATTAGCGTGGCAATTAACAGCCGTCGGTGGCCCCTCGTGGATAAGCGGTGGAAGAAAATGTGCCTGTGCTGAAAATGGAGGGGCGTCTGCGGCGTGCTTAGCAACCGTTTCTGGGGAAATGCAGCGTTCCTCCACATGTTGCAGGTGATGGAGCCTGTCGGTGGTGGAGCTGCAGCAGCAGCAGCAGCAGGACGTCACATGACGGCGCTCCTCCGCGGCGCGTTGGCGTCGCCGGCCGCGGCCTCCCGTGCACTCGCGGGGCCGTGCCACATGGATGAACTGTGCAACCCGCTCTAATGCTAATTCTGCTTTCTGTCCTTCAACTGGAGTTGACATTGGCTCTTTGTGTTGCCTGTGAATGGCCTCCCAGCAGCCAAATTCTTCTCTTCCCCCCCACTTCTCTCTTTTGTATGGCCCTCCTCCTCCTCCTCCTCCTCCACCTCCTCCTCTGTCTTTTGTCCTCGTGTTTCTGTTTTTTCTTCTTTCTCCTCCGTCGCTGGAGCTCCGCTGGCTATTGTGTTGCTGTCCAAGGTGCTGAAATGTTGCCGGCAACAAGGGCCACATTCCAATCGGACGGCTGAGGCCCGAGCAGAGAGTCACGTGAGGGAGTTTTGTTGGCTCCTCTGTGAGGCGGAGGTGTGACTCTTTGTTATTTTATTCACTATTATGTTGCTGGAAATCTTTTTTTTTCCTTAAAAAATAGGTCTGTCTCAGCTGGAGGGCACCGGGAGAGTGATGCATATTGCATGTACGCTGGTTGCTGCCTTTGTGTTGATCACTGTTCGGTTCTCCTTTAAGTTTTGATCTACATCTCTGGAGGCTTCTGATGACTGCTGCTCATGTGAGGGGAGTCTGAAATGCTGAGAACCTTGAGTTTAGGTGGTTTTTTTTGTGGGATAATTTGGTTTGTTGTGGTTCCACGTGAGCAGAATCTTGCTGTTTATGTGCTGCAGGTATAAAGTTGGTCTCTTTTATTGGTTTTTGTGCTGACTGATCTGGAAACATACTAAGAAATGTGAGCAGTGATGATAAAACTTGTTGTAAAAACGCAGATTACAGCGAACAACTTGAAGGCAGAACCACAAATGAGGACACCTGAAGGCGTCAGTGCTTTAGAAACTTGACTCTTATCTAAAGAAATCAACACAAGCAGCCATAATATGTGCTACAACTTTTAAACAGTTCTGAGCTTCGAGCAGCTCGTCCTGTGCAATGCATGATGGGATCAGTTTTCTTTTACTGTTAACTTTTAGATCTGATCCCGATATGAGCGATGGGCCGAAGCCGCAAACACACGAGCCGAGTTTGACTAAACAGAGATCATCCTTTCTCTTTGAGTCGCTGATAATGAAAGCTTTTATCTCCATCATCGCGTCTCGCTGAGGTGCGCTCGCATCCATCCATCTCGCACGAATTGGGCCACGTACATCAGCGAGTCCCCGACGGTTCCCAATCCCGCCGTGATAGATGGTTTCAATAACCTGAGTGTTACCAGGCAGGAACCCTGGGTTTTTTTGGGGGGGGATAATATCGTTTGTGGCAGAATTGTGTTCCTGAGCGCTGCAGCTCTGAACACCTGAGAAAAACTCTCCTTTAATGTTGTTCTGCTGCTGCTGCTGCATGAAACACCTCATTTACTCCAAATCCTGGCATTTTCTTTACCTGCTTCCTATTGTTTGTTTTTCTTCTTACTTCCTTCATGCATCTACTCGGTGCCGTAACTTTTTTTTTCTTTCCGTATTGAGTTGCTTTCATCTGTGGTTTCTGGTTGCAAAGGCGCACGGCGGCGGGGGGAAGATGCTGCGGTAAGCAAAGCCGTGAACGCTGTCGTGCGGGCTTCCTTTTTAACAAGCTTCGCCATTTCAGCTGCCGTGTGAATGGGGAGGGGAGAAGAAAGAGAGAGAGAGAGGGGGAGAGAGAGAGGGAGGGAGACATGAACGGAAGGAAAGAGAGAGAGAGAGGGAGGTCGGCAGAGCTGTTCATTCCTCTCCTTCTCTGAAAATGGAGTGATTTTCCTTCCTTGGGCACAATAGGTCCTCTGTGTCTTTTTAGTGGCAGTGAAGGAACGAGAGCTCTCATGCACACACACACACACACACACATATGCACACTCACACACACACACACACACACACACACACAGGGGATATAAGGGAGGGCTGGAACATGTGCAGCCTTGCACACCAATGAGGAAGCTTTCTCCTCAGAACACTCTCCTCTCTTATCTCGCAGCCCTGGGACCCTTGTGTATGTGCGTGCACGTGTGAGCGTGCACGTGTGAGTGAGTGAGTGACTGCATTCACATATTCATATGAGTGAGCACTTTGCAGAGGTGTTCGCTCGCTTCTTTTTTTTTTTTTGCTCCGTCGATACGATTCAACGTATAAATAGGTGTTTTGTAGAAAATGCTCTCTCTCTCTTTTCTCCCCGCTCTCCGTCTACCTCTCTCGCCCCGTCGCTCGCTCTCTCTCTCTCTCTCGCTGAGCGATATGATAGAGGACTGCAAATTGGTATTCCTACAGTGTGGCTCAACGTGTGGATAAGCGATTCAGAGATGACTTTGAAGCATAAAGGCTGTTGCTTTGAGTTGATTTATAATAGGTGTTTCTGGAGACCTCTGAGTGTATGTGTGTGTGTGTGTGTGTGTGTGCGTTTTCTGACTTTTGTGCATTATGTTGAGTGTGACACCAGCTTTCCACACATACGATTTTAATCGTTTTGCCGCAGACTGCTGCAATCCATTTTCTTCTTTCCCCTGGCCGCTGTGTTTGCCCCATCCGTCACTTAAACCGCCCCCCCGTTAACTCATCCTCAATAAGCTCACGTCATCCCGACCCGTCAGTCCTCATTCACACATTTGTGTTTTAATCTGCTGTGTTTTTTGTCCTCCTGGATCTCAGTCATATTTAGCAGTGGTGGACGGTGGGCAGGTGATTTATCTGAGCCTTTCTGTTTCTAGTAGCGACCCTAAAAGGAAAAAAGAGAGGAATGAGCGATGAGTTTAAAGCGTTCGCAGCTTCGGTCGACTCGGTTCTGCTCAAAAGTGTCTCGGTTGTGTCTGCAAACAAGACTGACAGATGGCAGGAAGATTACTGCGTCGTTTCTCTGCTGCTTCCTGCAGACTTTGTGGAATCTGTGACTGTCTTTTGGGGGTTTTTATTGTTTGTGAAAGTCTTGGTCTGGACACAACTTTGGATTCAACTTGATGCAGAGTTGGTTTCACCTCATTGGGGGTAAAAAGAGGTTTAGGCCCCAGAAACAAACAGATTTGGGAAGGAATTGGTGCCGTGTGAGCAAAGCATTGTAGGACTTTTCTGCTTGGTGCTTCTTGTGGAGCTGGTTGACGTTACCATCAGTTCTCTTAGTGCTTCAGGAGTCCAGTGTTGTTTATAATCTAACCCTGGTCCTAATTTGCTGTTGGCTTTATTCCATTTCTTCGTTTTAAGTGGTTTTTAAGAGTTTTTACAATGATTAGCCAAGGCTGGGTTAACATCTGGCTCCAGGAACCCGACTTAAGAATGTCCCAAAAGCTCGATGTTTATTTTGCACCATTTGCTTGTTTTTGTTTAATTGCTGCTTAATTCGGAA